GCATCAGCTATTAATATAGTTTCCTTCCTCTCTTTTTATCTGTCATCCTCTGCCAGGAAGACCTTGTTGGCTTCTGATTACGATACCCATATGTAACCCATTGCCAAGGGGCTTGGGTTCTGAGCCACATGGATTCTGTGGCAGCTCAAAGGTGGTATCCTTTTTATAGTGTGGTGTATAGGGCATTGCCTGCACCCTGGATCCTGACCAGCAGGCTCAGTCCCTCCTCCTGTCCTACCCTATCGCCATAATCCTTTCCCCACTTCTTGCAGTACTCAAGAAAAGGTTCTTTTGAGGGCGATCAGCAGTTGCTAAAGGCTGTTATAATCCATAAGCTCCATGCAGCAACTTCAGTAATTGTCATTCTCCCTACCTTCTTGACTCATGCAAGGTCCTCCTGCTGTCTCCAAAGATGAGACAAGCAGTGTTTCCTTGCCTCACTGTCACACTTTTTCCCACAAATTCATAAATGACAGAGTAGGCAAGAGAAAATAATACTGCTTTTCTGTATGAACTTCTCACCCAAGAAGGAATAGTTGTGACTCACATTCAATTCCTAATGAAATCTAGAGGGGTTCTTTTGAAGCAACAATGATTCCGGGTGAGAAAAGTTACTCTTCAGTATCCTAGAGATCCTATCAGGCAAAGAAAGGAAGGGAGGAAAGAAAGACAACACTGCCACTGGTCACTATTCTTCATTTTTGCTTGTCTTGCATTGTCCTGTATTTATCACAGTTTCTGTTGAACAGGCTTTTGTTTGTTTGTTTGTTTTAAGTATTTGGGAGGGGCTTTTGCTTACCATTTCCCCTCCTAGTCCTCTGTGCTCACTCTTCCCAAAACAGATCATTCTGTGTCCTGTGACTTTGAGAGAGGCTTTTTTTTTTTCTTAGCAGTAAGACTTGATATTTTCAACTTTGGAAGAGCTAAAAGATGAATAAAATGTTTTTTTGTAAAAAAAAAGTCTTCAATTTCATTAAATGTCCCCAAATGTACTAAACATTGAGCCATAGAAATCACTTGATGATTTCTTGAAATATGCCTAGGCCCTCTTTTTGGATCATGGTTTTTAAAAATTGTTTTGTTTCTTGATGTCTCATGGAGTCATTAGCTTCCAATTGCCCAATTCTAATTTTTAAGGCATTATTTTCTTCAGTGAGTTTTTATACCTCCTTTTCCATTTGGCTGATTCTACTTTTTAAGGAGTTCTTTTCTTCAGTGAATTTTTTTTTTACCTTTTTTCCATTTGACCAATTCTGCATTTTAAGGAGACAGATTTTGCCTGAAGACTTTCCAAGTTGTCTTGGGCTGGAAAATTGTTTCACCTCACCCTTTTGTTGGTTCTGCCTCTCCAGAATTCATTTTGAAGTATTATTTTAATGTTGTTTGGAAGAGAATTTGGGAGAGCTCAGAGGAATCCCTGTTTTCCATCTTGGTTCTCCTCTGTAATTTATCATCTTAGTTACCTGAGGCAAGGTTAAATGATTTGCCCATGGTTATGTAGCTAGTACGTAGGAGAGGTAAGACTTAACCTCAGGTCTAACTGACCACATGGATGGCTTTCTATTCAATCAATCAAACAATAAATATTTGGCTATCCAATGAAAGACGTAGTGATTACTATGGCTCATTTTTCAGGTTTTGATAGCTTAGAATGAGTGTAAATGGCATTTGTTTTCTCTTCTGCAAGAAACTTTGAGGGTTTCCTCTTTCCAGATTTTTTTGTGGTGATAAATTAGGCCATTTTTTTTTTGTTTCCAAGGGTTGTACCAAACCCTTAGTTATTGAATGGGCATTGCCTCAGAAAAACTGATGCCTGGGAAATGACCTTAATTTAGAAAAGCCAAGGTCATCCACTGCATCCTGGGCCATCACAAGTCATCTTGACCTTTGTCTTGCCACTAGACTTCAATAACTCTTGAGGAGAGAGTGAGGGTGATGACTTTGTGCATTTCTGCTCACTTAAATCCAATTAATCTGCAAGTAATCATCCTCATGATGTCATTGGTCTTCTTTGAAAATGAAGGATGAACAACAATAAACATTTATTAAGCAACTACTTTGTGCTAGGCACTGTGCTAAGAGCTGTGGATACAAAAATATCAATTAGCTTTTACAAAAGGATACTTACTGAGAAGGCACAGTACGGAACAAAGAACAAATCCTTCTTCTCCCTTCAAAATTCTGGGAAAAACTCACCCACAAGTACCCAGAGTCCAAGAGAAAATTTTCTCAAGCTCAAGGAGGCTCTTTTTTTGGCAAAGGGGTAACTTGCAACAACTGATTGGATGGAAGTCCTTTTCTCCCTCCCTGGAGTCTTCCTGTAGTCCCTATGAGGAACACTCTTCACTGGGTTCCAAGGGTCTTTTCTTGGTGTGTTCCTTGTCCTAAGCTGCTGGTGAAGATACTACCATCAACCAGTGCTATTTCAGGATTCTCTTACCACTATGATGGAAAGTCCAAATCTGACCTTTTCAAAGGCAGATGGGGTTGTATGGTGATGGTGAAGACTTTCCTTAAGGGCTTGGATGGAACTCTTATACCACTAGATTGACCTGCTATTGGAATCTTGCATTCAAAATTGGCAAGCCCCACAGGAAATGAATGATTCTCTTGAACAAATCCCAGGATGCTCCTTGTGTACAGTCATTTCATCTTACCAATGATTCAAAGCATTTCACCTCTTCAGAACTTAATTAAGTAAATTGTTAAGTCTTTGTTTTATGCAACAGAGCTGGCTAGCAATTGTTCACATCCATTTTCCACACTGGGTTTATGGACTCTATAACTCAATTGAAGAGGCATTCTTATCTGAAAAGGGCATCAGGGCATATCATATCTTGCTAGAGGACACACATTTCCTATAAAATGATAATATTTGCTACTACCAACTTTCATCATATTATACTTAACATAATGTCCTAACCCAGGGGTTGACAAACTACAGCCTGTAGGCCTGAGAGCAAAACAAAGTTTAAAACCAGCTCACTGGCTGTACAAAAATAGGCAACTGGCCAGATTTGGTCCTTGGGATGTAGTTTGACAATCCCTATTTTAACTCATCAATATCCTTTAGGATTCTTTGCCATTCAATATATTTACTATTTCTCCTAGCTTTTTTTCATCTGCAGATTTAATAAGGATTCATTAGGACTTTTAATATTAATTTCTTTTTATTATGAGTTTTGAAACCTCAATAAACACAAATATTTTAATAAACAAAAAAGAAAAAGATTTATACAAAACTGTGAATTTCTGATGTACAGTTTTCTTATATCTACATTGAGTTTAACATAGTAACTGCCCTGTTTATCCTTTTCCGCAATTTTGGCCAAGACAGGAAACTGTACTGAGACCTGGAACAAGCCTCCATCCTCTGCCTCAATTTATGGCTTCTGCCTCTGTCTCCTGATGACTCAATGACTTCTTTTTTCTCATTTCCCAATATAAGAAGCCCACACCACTCAACTGCCCAATTAATGTGACTAACAAGATGCTTTGCGCCCTGATACTTTTATCAAGTGGCAATGGTTCCTTCACTATTAAAGAATTAATCAATAAAACACTGAAACTAGATATGAACAAGTTTTAGATACCTCCAATTACTTTAGGGACAAATATGGAATTGTTTCATTCCCTACTTAGCACTGGCAGGCTAGGGCTGAGATCATATTGACTCAGTCCTGTCTGGTAGCTTGCTCCTGGTTTTCTTCTTGTTCAGTCCTGGACAAGATCAGTGAACTCACTGTTGATTCCCTTTGGTTTTATTGAATCATTCCTTCATCTGGAGCCCTTTTCATCTTTGCTGGGGAGCTGAGCTCAGCTACTGCCTTTCATATTGCTATCTGTGATAGTCTCATTATCTAGCAGCTTTCTTCATCCCCATCCCATGGGTTAGACTAGGTTTTCTTTTTTTCCCTAAAAGGCAACAACACTGTCCCCAGGGCTTGACCGTCCTTCCCTTAAGGAAAGTTCCTGGTGGCTTCTTATAGTACTGATTTGAATTATTGGCTACCTAAGGGTATAAAAAGACCCACCTATATGGAATTGGGGCCCTACAGACATTGCAGATGGCCAACGGCCACATTTCACCACACCTTGTCCTGAAGGCTAGACAAGTGTCTATAAGGAAATGAGGGAAACCACTTCCATCCAAACCAAGTGCTGCAATATCTTTGTTGAATATAATTTCTATACTAAGTAAATATCCTTCGGCTTACTGTTGAATGACTTATGAGTTTCATTCCAACACTGGACCTAAATTGCAAAGAGCATGAGTCAGACCTGTCAGAACACCATCTTTGCCAAAAGTCCCATCTATATCTTTATCTAAGTCATTGGTTAAAAAAAAAATGTCAAGAAGCTCAAAGTCTAGCATAGATGTATGGGACACTTAACTAGAAGCCACCTGCTATCTCTATTGAAACATTAGCAATTACTCTGAGCCTAGTCATTCAATCATTTCTAAATCCATCTAATTGTAATGTTGTCTAGACTACATATCTCCATTTTTTCCAAAGAGATAGAAAGGAATATCTTATTGTATGCTTTGCTAAGAACCTAAGTAAATTATATCAACAACCATTCCATAACCCTGTGAATAAACGAAATAGTTTGCTTGGCATGACCTATTTTTGGTGAAGTCATAGTGGTTATTTTGACCACTGTTTCCTTTTCTAAATATTGACTATCTTTTTAGTAATATTTCTAGAAATTTCCCAAGAATCAAAATTAAATTTCCTGGCCCATAGTTTGCACATTTTATTATTATCCTTTTGTGGAAAATTGGGATATTTATTTTTCTAGTCCTGAGCTACTTCTATTGTACACAGTCTTTCAAATGCCATTTACAGTGGTTTAGAAGCACATCCACTAATTCTATTAATATCTGAAGATGCAATTAATCTAGGCTGGGTGATTTGAATTCTTCAATGGCACCTAAGTTTTCTTTTGCTATCTTAAGTATCTTGGTTATCAATTCATTATTAGCCATTTTTGATTTGTTTTTTTTTTCCTTCTGGTCCATATGTTTTATCTTGGCAGATAAAACAGTCCTAGGTAGCTCTTGAATTAGTGGCCTGTGGAGATGGATGTGGGTATGGTCAGCATTATCAGAATGCACAAAAGCCATTATTCATAAATGATCACAAACTTGCATTAGTCCCCACCGGAGGATTATGCTGAAACTAAACTTGTTTATTTTGAATAACCTATTAAGGGTGGGAAAGTGCTGAATGTCATTGAATCATAATATCTTAGAGACAGAAGGGACTTCAAAAAACACCTGGTCTAAACCCTAATTGAGCAGCACCCTCCCTTCTCTTCTCCATCAGAATCGAAAGAATAAAATCCAAAATACCCTGTGGCACCCATGGATTTCCACAGTAGACTCCATCCCACATATATAGTTGTTGTTTTTCCCCCTCTGGATGCCTCCATCAGCTGCAGGCAGACCTATCTCTGCCATCCTGCAAACACGGGGTTTATTCCTAATTTTTATAATAACCTTTGTTGTTGTTCTTTCATTTCGGTCCTGGGGAAGACTTCTGAAATGAGATATTTTAACTATGCATCTACTTTACTTGGTAACTATCAAAAAGTTCAAATAACTGTATTGTAAGAATGATTACTTCCCAGACATTGTTAAACTTTAAATATTAGCAAAGAAAAATATTTAGAGAAGTATTCTATATATTAATTTTATTATACTACATCTATGAAAGGACACACCAGAAATTTGATAAATGCATTATATTGGTAATGAACACTTTAAAAATATAATCAAAAGAAAATAAATGGAATAAGTAGGAATAGATTCAATATAAAAGCAGCTAAGTATATTAAAATATCCATAAGGAAGGAATGCAATTTTAGTAACAAGGAATTTGTTAAAAGCAGTTTAGGTTCATTGTCAAATTTGTTATCGCAAGTTTATTCAGTTGGATTCTGAATGACAATCAGAAGATATTCCTTATCTGTAAAAAGAAAAAAGATAAATTTTAGTTAATCTTGAAAACAGTATTAATTGCCAATGAGTATGCTGATTTGACTTCTATTGGCTCACTGCAACTTGAAGAGCCTACCTGTTTTTAAAGAATGATTGAACTGAATAAAATATGAAAAGCTCAACTTATCCTCTGAAAGTTTACAAAATGCATTTAGAAACACCAGGATCATGGCAATTTAAATGAATACACATTTAATTTTCATCTGAATTTTGTTCATTGTATACCAATAACCTTGGTTTACATATATGTGTATATATATATATATATATATATATATATATATATATCTCCCTGGTTTTACAAATACATACACTTCTGAAATATAATATATATTGCAACAAAATGACACCTATTATGAAACTTTAAAAGTTTCCCCATGACCAAAAATTCTCCAATTGACTGAACTGAAAAGTTTTAATTAAGAAGGGATTCAGGAGACCTGGGCTTTAGTTCCAGCTCTGTGAATTACCATTTTATCAGCCAAAAGTTGCCTTTCCTGGTAAATGAGGGTATTGTAATAGAAGATGTCTAAGGTGCTCTCCAGGAATGGAATGGTGGCCAACTATGGACCTTGATGGGCACTGTATATTCATAAGGTTTTGCTCTGATGGGAATGCTTTAAGAACTTTTTTCTTCTGTTCCCCTTTGTCCTGATTAATACATTTCATTATGCCTTTGAAGTTTCATGTATTATGTTCAGCTAAAATGAGGGAGATCCATACACTTGAAATTTGTTAATACCATTTCTTACAATGTAATGCAACTCAGGAAAAGTAATTCTACTGATCAAAGGTAAGGTTTATTGAAGACTTCCCAAACTCTCTGAGCTGAAAAGAAATGTTACAGCTTAAAGAGTTAGTCCAAAGCCTATCTATCAAAGACAGAGAAACAAAGACCATATGGGGTTAAGTGATTCCAGAGGTGGCAGCATGATGTAATGGAAAGAATGAGGAAATGGGAGTCAGGAGAGACCTTGGTCTTAGAGGGTCTTACACATCTAATCAAAAAGGCTTTAAACTGAAAAAGGAAGAGGGAAGGAGAAGACTACCTAAGTATATCCAACAAACTAGATACCATAGATACCATGTAGGTGCTACATAGAAAGAAGAATGGTAATAAAGTCTCAGAAATTGGTAGTAGACAAAATCCAAGAAAGGAGCCATCAAAATGGTCTTGAATGTCTCTCTATAGAAATACATAAGATAAATACAAAATATATAAAAACAAGTAAGGTCACCTAAATGTTCCAACACAAAAGGGCAGATTTGATCTCAATTATAGAAATGATTTGTTGGGAAGAGACTCACAAATGGAATATAGTTCTAGAACAAATACCTCATTCAAACGAACAGATTTGGGGAGAGCAGATTCCAAGGGGTTTATGGAATGGTAAGATAGGATATCATGAACTAAAATTCTACAATGAAATCAGTTCAGAAGGGATAGAAAGGCCTCAAGAATAAAATTCTGAAGTCACAAGAAAAAAGAATTCTAATAAGGAGTAGAAGATGCCTAAAGATATCAATATGGATTCAAGGAGCACTCATCGATGAACTTAGATTTTAAAAAGCCATGTACAAAAGATGGAAACAAAGGCAAATACTAGAAGATGAATACAAAAGCACAGCACACCCTCAGAATGAGCTGAAGTAGATGAGGAAAGCTAAGGACCATGGAAAGTATTTAAAGTTAAGTGGTTAAAAACAAAAACAAAACAAACAAACAAACAAAAAACCAAGGGTTAAAAAAGAAATAGGATTGCTGCTCAGCATGAATAGAATGATAGTAAAACTGATGATATAGATAAGGTAGAGTGGCTTAGTCTGTTTCTGTTTTCTATGCCAAGAAGAAAGATCTTTGGAATGAAAAGGACAAAAATGGCTGGTAGGAGGTTGATGCAAGTTCAACATATAAAAGAAGATGGAGTAAGAGGGGACATATCTGCCCTTGATGATTTCAAGTACTGACCATCCTAGAATACTAAAAGAACTGGTAGATAAGCTATTGTCAGTAATCTCTGAAAAACTGGAGAGATTGTAAGAGATACTATGATGAGAGAAACTGTCCTGATTTTCAAAATAGAAAATTTTGGATTTTGTAAACTATAGACCAAGGAAATTAATTTCTATTCCTGAAAAATTCTAAATTCTCTCTCCTGGATCTATTTTCCAGGTCAATTGTTTTTCCAATGAGATATTTCACATTCTCTTCTATTTTTTCACTTGGTTTTATTTCATAATTTCTTGATTTCTCATACAGACATTGGTTTCATTTGCTCCATTCTAATTTTTAAGGAATTATTTTCTTCATTGAGCTTTTGGACCTCCTTTTCCATTTGGCCAATTCTGCTTTTTAAGGCATTCTTCTCCTCCTTCACTTTTTGGACCTCTTTCCATTTGGGTTAGTCTATTTTTAAGCTGTTATTTTCTTCAGTATTTTTGGGGACTTCCTTTAGCAAGCTGTTGACTTGTTTTTCATGATTTTCTTGCATCACTCTCATTTTTCTTCCTAGTTTTTCCCCTACTTCTCTTACTTGATTTTCAAAATCCTTTTTGAGTTCTTCCATGGCCTGAGACCAATTCATATTTTTCTTGGAGGCTTTGGAGGTAGGAGCTTTGACTTTGTTGTCTTCTTCTGGTTGTATGTTTTGATCTTCTTTGTCACCAAACTAAGAATCTATAGTCTGAGTTTTTTTCCACTGTTAGCTCATGTTCCCAGTCAAATACTTCAGTTATAAACTCTTTGTTATGGTAGGGCTCTGCTTCCAGTGTGGACAGTGTACAGTCCCAAGCTTCAGGGGTTTTGTGCATCTGTTTTCAGAGATACTTCTAGGGACTTGTAAATTTTCAGTTCTTCCAAGGTGGTATGATCAAAGGAGAGGTGTTTACTCCTTTCCTGGGCTGTGCTCTGGTCTATGCATAACCACAAGCACTTTTCTGCCTTGGAACTGTGGGGAGGATTCTCTCTCTCCACTGCTGTCACAAGCTCTGCCACGCCAGCACTCTTCCTTGCCCCAGAACCACCACCCAGGACTGTGACCCAGATCCAAGCATGGGCAAAGCAAGAGGATCCTGCCTCAATGGTGAAGAGATCCCTGAAATTCCCCTCTGCTCAGCTGCTTGATCCTCCCACAGTCTGTGGCCCAAGAGCTCTGGAAGCAGCAGTGGCCACTCCAGGAGAGGGGCCAGACCACGCTCCTCTCTCACTGTGGTCACAGACTTTTCCTACTGAACTTCTAAACTGTCTCTGGAGTTTATGGATTGAGAAATCTGGAAACCACTACAACTGCTAGTGATTCAGTCCCCTGAGGCCTGCTCCAGGTTTGCTAAGACCCTGTCTTTGACTGTGCAGCCCACACTGAACTGTATTCCTCTCCCAGCCTGGCACAACAGACCTTTCCCATAAACCATCCAGATTTTCTTAGGCTGGAAATTTGTTTCACTCTTTTTGTGGATTCCGCTGCTCTAGAATTTGTTTAGAGCCATTTTTACAAGTATTTGGAGGGGTTTGGGGGAGATCTTAAGCAAGTCACTGCTTTTACTCTGCCATCTTGGCTCTGCCCCTATTCCTGAAAAATTCTAGAAAAAATATTTTGTCATTTAGTCATTTCACTCCAGTATGACTCTTCATGACGCCATTGGAGTTTTCTTGGCAAAAATACTAGAGGGGTTTGCCATTTCCTTCTCTAGCTAATTTTATAAATTAGGAAGCTGAGGTAAACACAGTTAAGTGAATTGACCAAAGTCACAGAGCTGGATATGAACTCAGAGTATCTGAGGCTGAATATGAACTCAGGTCTTCCTGACTCCGTCCAGAACTCTATTTATTATGACACCTTGCTTCCCAGAAAAATTATTAAACGGGTGCTTATGACTACATACAACAGACAATATCTGAGGTATTGTGTCCAGTTCTGGGTATCACATTTTAGGAAAGATACTGGTAAACTAGAGAGCTGCCAGTGGAGGATAATGAGGATGTTCAAAGGCCATAAGCTCTTGTCATATAAGTATTTATTGAAAGAGCTGGGAATGTTTAAATTTGAAGATCATAATTCTTGTACTAAGTTGAAATACCTCTTTCCAAGTATTTAAAAGGCCGTCATTTGGAAGAGGGATTAGATGTTTTCTTGGGACCCAGAAAGGAGAACTAGAAACAATGTGTGGAAGCTGTAAAAAGACTAATTTAAGCTTGATGTCAAGAAAAAAACATCCTAACAGTGAGAACTATTTAAAAATGGAATGGATTGACTCAGGTGGTTGGTTTGTTCCTCTCCACTGGTAATATTCAAACAAAGGCTGGATAATTATTTATTTGATGGGGTATAGAAGGAATTCTTTTTTAAAAAAATTTTTTATTTTTAGTTTTCAACATTCACTTCCACAAGATTTTGAGTTCTAAATTTTCACCCCATCTTGCCCCTCCCTCCACTCCAAGATGGCATGCATTCTGAATACCCCTTCCCTTAGTCTGCCTTCCCTTCTGTCTCTCCTCCCCTTTTCTTATCCCCTTCCCCTTCTATTTTCCTGTAGGGCAGGATAGATTTCTGTACCCCATTTCCTATATTTCTTATTTCCCAGTTGCATGCGAAAACATTTTTTTAAACATGTGTTTTTAAAACTTTGGGTTCCAAATGTTATCCCTTCTTCCCTCCCCACCCACCCTCATTGAAAAGGCAAGCAATTCAATACAGGTTATACATGTGCAGTTATACAAAACATAGTCGTCATGTTGTGGAAAAACTAACTCTATTTCCCTTAATCCTATTCTGACCCCCATTTATTCTATTCTTTCTTTTGACTCTGTCCCTCCTCAGAAGTGTTTGCTTCTGATTACCCCCTTTCCCAATCTCCCTTCTTCTCTATCATCACCCTGCTCTCTTGTCCCCTTTCCCCCCTACTTTCCTGTAGGGTAAGATAGATTTCCATACCCAATTGAGTGTGTATGTTACTCCCTCCTTAAGCCAAATATGATGAGAATAAGATTCACTCATTCCCTCTCACCTTCCCATTTCCCCTCCATTGTAAGAGACTTTTCTGTTTTTTGTGAGATAATTTATACCATTCTACCTCTCCCTTTCTTCTTCTCCTAGTATAATCCTCTCTCACCCCTTAATTTTATTCTCCAGATATGACCCCTTAATCTTCAACTCACCCTGTGCCCTCCCTCTTCTCTCTCTCTCTCTTCTCTCTCTCTCTCTCTCTCTCTCTCTCTCTCTCTCTCTCCATACATATAATTTTTTTTCCCCTCCAACTATCCTAATACTGACAAAGATCTCATGAGTTACAAATATCATATTTCCATGCAGGAATGTAAACAGTTCAACCTTAAAAAGTCTCTTATGATTTCTCTTTCCTGTTTACCTCTTCATGTTCCACTTGAGTGTTGTATTTGAAAGTCAAATTTTCTATTCAGCTCTGGTCTTTTCATCAAGAATGCCTGAAAGTCCTCTATTTCACTGAGTGACCATTTTTTCCCCTGAAAGATTACACTCAGTTTTGCTACCAGCGTGGGAATTCCCTTTACCAACACAGATCACAAACCATTTGGAAAATGCCTTGTCTGAGGCACATAAAAGGTGAAGCGAGTTGGTCATGGACACCCAGCTAGTAAATTTCTGGGGGGCATAATTTCAACCATGTTACCTATTTTGACATAAAATTAAAGCCACTAATTTGCAAAAATATGATAGTATACTCACCAAAATTTTCCTAAATGTATTTCTGGGGGTGCAGTGTAAAGGATACACTACAGCTGAGCTCTCTCAATATTCCCCTCCAAACGACATTAAAATAACGCCTCAGATCAAATTCTGGAGCATCAGAGCCAACAAAGTTCAGAATGAGACATTTTTCCAGATCCAGACAACTTAAGAGATTGGAAGGAAAGGTCTATGTCTCTGGGGTGGGGGTTAGCCCAGAGCAAATGTGGTGGCAACACCAGCTGTGGGAACTTGTGGTAAAAACAGCACCTTTGGGGGCTCTCAATCCAGAGACCAGAAGGGGATTGGGTAATTGATGATAAAAAGACTGCAGGGGATCCCTGTGCTAGCAGTGGGTGCAGGACAGGGTACTGTTTGGCAACTACATTATCCATACTCACTTCTGGGTCTCAGTTCTAGAGTGGAGAAGAGCACTTGCGGTTGCAAGGGATCAGGGGCACTTCTAGGATAAGGACCAGATACAGATTAGGAAAACAGTGACCACAACTATCCCCACATCACATCACTTTAGAAAAACACTGAAATCTCTCAAACATCCAGAACTAGCTCAACAAGCTTGAAGCAAACAAGAACAATAAAAATAACCTGACCATAAAAAGCTACTAAGGTGACAGGGAAGATCAAGACAGAAACTCAGAAGAAGACAATAATATTGAAACAGCCATAAGGAAAGCCTAAAAGAAAAGAATGCCAATTGGACACGCATCCAACAAGAATTAATGGAAGAGCTAAAAATGATTTTTTTAAAAAAATCAAATAAGAGTAATAGAGGAAAAATTGGGAAAATAAATGAGTGATAAAAAAACACTATTGCAAGCTGTTTCCAAGCAATGCAAACAAAAACAACAACTTGGCAAAAGAAGCACCAAAAATACTGAAGAAAATAGCATCTTTTTTGTGTTTTTTTTTGGTTGTTGTTGTTTTTCTGAGGCAGTTGGGATTAAGTGATTTGCCCAGAGTCCACACAGTTACGTGTCTGAGGCCGAATTTGAACTCAGGTCCTCCTGACTTCAGGGCTGGTACTCTATCTACTGTACCACCTCACTGCCCCCAAAAATAACATCTTAAGAAACAGAATTGACCAAATGGCAAAAGAAGTACAAAACCTCACTGAAGAAAAAAAAAACTCCTTAAAAAATAGATACGGCCAAATCGTAAAAGAGGTACAAAACCTTAGTAATGAACATAACTTAAACAGCAGCATTGGCCACATGGGGAGAAAAAAGAGGTAGAAAAACTGATTGAAGAAAATAATTCCTTAAAAATTAAAATTGGACAAGTGGAAGCTAATGATTCCATAAGACACCAAAAACAAAACAAAGTCAAAAGAATTGGAAAACTGAAAGAAAATGAGAAATATTTCACCAGAAAAACAAATGACCTGAAAAAATAGGTTGAAGAGAGATAACTTAAGAATTATCAAACTACCAGAAAGCCATGATTTTCTAGAGTCAGACGTATACTTCCAAGAAATTATAAAGGAAATTATAAAGGAAAACTGTTCCCAGGTCAAATAAAACTAATAAATAAAAATAAAATACTACTACTTGAAAAAAATAAGTAAAGGAGTCCTACCAAATTCGTCTTATGATATAAATATGGTTTTGACACCTAAATCAGGGAGAATAAACACAGAGACTGAAAACTCTAAATCAATTTTCTTAATGAATATCAGTACAAAAATTTTAAAGAAAATATTAGCAAGCAGAGCATAGCAATTTATCACAAAGATCATATACTATGACCAGGTGGGATTTATGTAGGGCAGGTTCAATATGAGGAAAACTATCTACATAATTGATCATATTAATAATGAAAATAACAAAAATCATATGATTATTTCAATAGGTGCAGAAAAAGCTTTTGACAAAATACAACACCTAATCCTATTAAAAATGCTAGAAAGCTCATTAGAGCTTTTCTTAGAATGATAATTAGCAGCTATGTGGCAGCCATCCTAAGACACTTACTAGATGTGTGACCCTGGGCAAGTAATTTAACCTTGTTTCCTTACCTGTAAAATAATGAACAAAGTAATCTAGCGTTTGATAAACCAAGTTTCTGAAGCAAAAACTTATCATTTGACAAAAATTTCTGGGAAACTTAGAAAGCAATTTGACGGAAACTAGGCATAGGCCAACATCTCACATGTATGCCAAGATAAAGTAAAAACTGGTACATAATTCAAAGATAAAGGGTGATATCATAAGTAAATTGGGGAAGCATGGGAAAAATCCTCTCATATGGATAAGGGAAGAGTTTATGACCAACAAGAGATAGGAAGGATAATGGGAAGTAAAATGTAATTATGATTGTATGAAATTAAAACTTTTTTCCTACACAAACAAAACCAATGCAGCCAAAATTAGAAGGAAAGCAGGAAACTGGGGGGAAAATTTATAGGGAGTTTCTCTGATAAAGGCCTGATTTCTCAAATATACAGGAAACTAAGTCAAATTTATTTAAAAATATATGAGCCATTCCTCAACTGATAAATGGCCAAAGGATATGAACAGGCAGTTTTCAGAAGAAAAAATAAAAACCATCAATAGTCATTTGAAAAAATCCTCTAAATCACTGTTTATTAGAGAAATGCAAAGTCAAAAAACTCTGAGGTACCACCCCATACCTATCAGATTGACTAACATGACAGAAAAGGAAAATTACAAATGCTGGAAGGGATGTGGAAAAATTGACACTAGTATACTGTGGAATTGTAAACTGGTCCAACCATTCTGAAGAACAATTAGACTATATCCAAAGAGCTACCAAATTTTGCACACCCTTTGACTCAGCAACACCATTGCCAGGTTTATATGCCAAAGAGAACAAAGAAAAGAGAAAAGGTACATAGATATTTATAGCATCTATTTTTCGTGGTGGCAAAGAACTAGAAATTGAAGGGATGCCCATCCATTGGGAACTGGCTGAACAGGCTCTGATACTTGATTGTGCTGGAATTTTACTGTGTTATAAGAAATGATGAGCAGGATAAATTGAGAAAAACCTCAAATGACTTCTATGAACTGATACAAAGTGAAATGAGTTGAACCAGGAGAACACTGTACAAAGTAACAAAAATACTGTAACAATGATCAATTGTGAAAGGCTTACCTACTGTAATCAACACAATGATTTAAGATAATTCCAAAGGACTCATGATTAAAAATGCTATCTACCTCCAGAGAAAGAGATCTGATGAACTCTGAGTATAAATTGAGGCACATTTTTTATGTTACTTTTCTTTTGTTTCCTTTTTTTCCCCTTGCAACATGACTAACAGCATGATTTCATATGCATAACTGATATCAAATTGCTTGCCTTCTCAATAAGTGGGGGAGGGCCTGGTGGGAAGGAGAAAATTTGGAACTCAAAATGTAAAAAAAATTAAAAAGAAATAAAATTTTAAAAATAAATTCTGAATATGATATTACCTGGGGCTACCATGACTTCATGTTTCTTTGATCTGATTCTAAGAAAAGTTAGGTCATTCTGAGGATCAATATCTCGCACTGTACTCTTGGCTTTCATAGTCAGCTGATGAAGAAGGCCTGCATACTGAACTGTTGTAGAATTATCTAAGGTTGTTCTGATGGGAATACCTATAAAATAAGGTAAATATTTGTTAATTAAGCTCTCAGACTTATAAAATAATGACAAATAAGGCTGTTTATTATTTTAAGTGTGTACACTTTGATAGCTCTATGATTTCACCAATGTCAATATTTCCTTTGATGATACAACAGATCACAGCCCATACCTGCCAGCCTATCATCACATGCTAGTCTTCTTCACAGTCCTCCCATACATCCTTCTCAAAGCATCCACTCAACGTCCTAGTTACTTTTCTCTAAATCTCTTAATATTGTGTGGATTGAAAACTGAGAGGTTGCCTGTTGTTTTTCTCTCACTTTCACTATGTGATTAGCTTATTATTTTTCCTAGAACTAGATTTCTGATCAGGTCATAAGTCAAATTATTACCCACTAAGAAAAACTGTGATCTAACAGAGTTAGCCTACACTGGCCAAAGTCCTGATCTTTCCTGACCCCTACACTAAAAAGTTCAACAAAAAGAGCTTTTAAAAATTTGAATAGCTCTTTTCTTGATATTTACAATCTGTGTATGTTTAAGATCTCTGTGTGATCTTGTCAGTATGACACTCCCCGACTTTAACCCATCTGTACCCTTCTGTCCTGTGGGACATTTGTCCCAGTTTTCCATAAAGGATCTACTCAACATCATGGAGATCCTTCTTCTGTTATCTTTGAATTTTTGGTTTATGGTGCAGTGCTATGCTCTGGGAGTCTATCCTTAAGCCTTACAACACAACCATCCCAACTTCTTTTTTGGTTATGCATATCATTAAAAAAAATCCTATTCAACTTGTAGTGTGTAATTTGTTGTTGATATTTTGCAGGATACTTGCCTCAAAAGTTGTCTGAAAAGTGCTGTGAAACTGTATGCTGCTACAGGAAATGTTAATTACTGTTATTAACAACAACCATACCTAATTTCAGATAGTATGGAAGTAGGTAGTGAGTGGGAAGAATTCTATACTTTGGGTTCGAATTCTGGCTCTGACATTTACTAACTGTGCAACCTCATGGATAAGTCACAATTTCTCTGAGCCTCAGTTTCCTCATGTATAAAATGAATACAATAATAATAGCAGCTAACATTTAAACATAATTTAAGGAATACGAGGTACTTCTTTACAATAACCCTGTGATATAGTGCAACATTATTAATTTTAATCTCATATTACAGATTTATGATCCTAGGACTTGTACACTGTCTCACAGTATCAGAGCAAGGATTCAAATACAGATTTTTCCTGGTTCCGTCTAGTGTTTCTTCCTACTTACCTTACTAAGGTGTTGTGAGGAATGTGCTTTATACACTTTACCTGTAAGTTAATATTATTAGTTTCAATATTTTTGAGTCACCTGTGATTCTTTATATATCATGGTGTTCAATGACTGACAGCCATATAATGTCACAGGGAAAATATTTCTGTTTAAAAGATGAGCCTCTAAAGCAGTGAACAGTTGAGAATCTCTGGAAGTGCTGCCAAATTTCCTAAAAGCTATCCAATATTGCATAATATTTTACAAGCCTTAAATTTGCTTTAGGAAGCATAAGCCACTTAGTTTAGGTATGTTTGCCCTTGATCCCTTCCTTTCCCTTCTGAGAGCTTGCCTCATCATTCCTTCAGTTTGATTTTCTCTTGTTCTCACTCATCTTCAATCTTTCCATTTTTACTGGCTTCTTCTTCTCTGCCTACAAACATGCTTGGGTTTCCCCCATCATTAAAAACAAAAACAAAAAACTCTTATACTTGACCATACCATTCCCTCAATCTTGTCATCCCAAATCTTCCCTTTATTTCATTGTCAGACACCTTGAGAGTAATCCACTGCTGCAACTACCTCACCTCTCATTCACTTCTCCAACTCTTGATATCTGGCTTCTAACCCTTGTAAATCACTCTCTCCAACATGACCAATAATCTCTCAAACATTGAAATGTCTTAATCTTCATCTTCCTTGACTTTTGCATACTTTGTGACATGGTCAACCACCCCTTCCTTCTCATACTCTCTTCCTCACTTGGCTTTCTTGAGTCTCTGTCCTGATTCTCTTTTCCAATCATTCCCTTTAGTCTCTTTTTTTGATCATCATATGCTCCCTGTGACTGTCTCAAAAGGCTCTGTCCTAGGTTCTCAGATCCTTCCTTCTTTTATCACTGAACAGTCTCCCTTAGGAAACATATACTTCCATGGGTTCAACGATCATATTTACATAATATATGTATATACACACATATATGTGTGTATAAATACATATATATGAATATACATGTATGACACACACATATCTCCTAAATCCTTCTCCTGTATAACTCCAGTCTTATATTACCAAATGTGTACTAGACATTTTCATCTGTATATTCTATCAGCATCTGAAATAATATTTAACATTTATATAGTTCCTTAAGGTTTGTGAAAAACTTTACAAATATTATGTCATTTTATCCTCACAACAACCCTGAAGGTAAGGGCTACAATTATCCAATTTTACAGATGAGGGAACTGAGTCAGATAGTTAAGTGGCTTTCCCAGGGTCCCAGAGCTAGTGGGCTCCATGTCCCGAACTCTTGCCACAGTTCTCTCTAGAGTCATCCTTGATTCTTTCCCCTAAGTCTCCATCTTCAGTCAACTGCCAAACTATGTTGATTCTATCTCCACAAAATCTTTCTCATTCATCCTCTTCTTTTTCTCACTCATATGACAACTACCCTAGTTCAGGCTCTCATCACTTTCCAAATGCTCTATCATAATGTCCTCCTAAAGGGTCTTCCTTCTTCTAGGTTATTTCCTCTCCAATCCAACCTCCATAAAATTATCAAAATAATCTTCCTAAGGTAAATGTCCTTGCTCTGCTCAAAAGACTCCAATGTTCTATTTTGCATGAAATTTAAGTTCCTCAGCCTGGCATTTAAGGTCAGTGGGGTTCTACCTTCTCCTTCCCACATATTACATTCCAGTCAAGGCAGACTGTCAGCTGCTCTCCAAATGTGACATTCCTTTTCCTACCTTCCATGCATTTGCACAAGCTGCCCCTGATACCTGGAATGTGCTCCCTTCTTATCTCCTGCCTTTTAGAATCTGCATTTTCTATCAAGACTAGGTCCAGGTGTTACCTTCTCTATGTAGAGTTTCTTGACATATCCAGTTGCTAATGTTCTCTCCCTTCAAATGACTTTGCATGCACTTTATCTTGATGCATGCTATACCTCACATTAGAATATAAGATCCTTGAGGACTGGTACCATTTTTAATTTGAACTCCTAGCATCCTAGAGTGTCTTACACATAGTGAGAATTTTATAAACTTTTATTTAATTTGAAATAACCTGAATAACTAAATGTAAATGATTTAGCTCTCTTATCTCTTAGTGGCAAAGCTTTCCAAACATTCTTATTTGTAAATGAACTAGTACTGACAGCATAAAGACCTTGAGCACTTCAAAGTCTTTTCAGTAAAACTCACAGCAATATAAAAGAAATAAATCTAACTACCGATACTAGGAAAAAAAACAAAAACAAAAACAAAGTAGATGAAAGCCACTTATTACCTAGATTATGAAGTCCAATTATGAGCAATCAGTCAAGTTAGTCCATCAAACCTGTATAAGATGGACAAGTGCTTCAGATAGATAATCATCTGGGCCCAGAAATGAGAGGGAATGGCATAGTCTACATTGCATTTGGAGGAAATGCTTAGTGTTTTCAATAATACCAAATTTTGCAGTGAGGCAACAACAACAAGAAAACATCTCTTCACATCAATATTATTCCAGTGATACCACATGGTTGTAGCAAATAACAAAAGAGAATAATGGAAAGGTACATGGTGAGTTTAAGTGGAGCATATGGTGACCCGCTCAGAGAAAGTGGGCTGGTTATGTAATGAGAATGAGAGGAAACAGACCAACTGACTAGTACCACACTGGCTTCTCCGACATACTAAAATAATGAGAGAAAGGCCTCTTATTGGATTAATAGTCTATGGAGGATTAAAGGAAAGACATGGGCAAGAATGACCTAGGATTAGAAACCATGTAAAGGTTACAATCTGAATGGAAGGAATGAGTACCCACACAGGGGAAATCAAATTCCACCAAAATAGCATTTAAACTATTTTATTTTTATTATATACATTCAAAATTGCCTATTATTTTAATAGGAAAATCCAAGCCTGATTAAGTGTAACTAAAAACTGTTCCTAAAATTACTTTTGCATACTTTGCCTAGAGAACAAAGAGACACGTAAGGATGTTTCTGGGACTTTCTTTGCACATCTCCCTCTGTCATTTGCACATAGCAGAAGGATATATAAAGATGAATTTGGAGTTATCAAGATTTTTAGAAAGAACTGAAAATCCTGATAGAGACGATATGACCCAGGAGAAGGAATACAAAATAACACAAGTATTGAAAGCACGGACTATGATTAAAAAACAAAAACATTTCTATGCCTTTCAATGGTACCTCCCTTTTAATTGTAAAGTGGTATATTCTTTTGGATTATGTACTATAGTTTCCACAATTTTTTTTTACCAAATAATCTGACAGTAAATAGAAGGAACTTCAATATTTTTACTGAAATTTAGCCAACAATCTGAACATGAAAGCATCCTCAGTTCTTGGAATGGTCATTGGTGACACTAAGTGGTTAATTAGATATTTCTTTAAAGAGTAAGTTTCAGGGCTTTTATCTTCTATCTTTTTTCCCAATTTTTAATCAATAATTTTATTTATACCTTTACAATAACTAACGTTGTTAAAATGTCAAAAGTGTTAAAAATATTATAGAAGTAAATTACCTATAATCTAAATTTACAGGATTATGGTTCAGATACTTAGAACTTCCTTGCCAGTTCATTCTAGATGAAAATGAATAAATAAAATAGGTGGATTTTGTGAATAATAATTGTACCTTTGAGGTGTTTCAGATACTTGGCTTCATGCCTATGACAAGTGTGATTTTAGAAGACATGGATCTTTATGTGGTTTTGGTGAGCTGCTATTCATTATT